CATGACAATAAAAACGGACAACATGACAATAAAACATGACAATACAAGCAAAACGCAATTTCCTAACATTTGAGGTATTGCTCATGCTTCAAAGTCCGAATAGAAGGTGATGAAGATGACAAAGGCTAGAAATGAAGAACAACGAATGTAGATGTAAATAAAACAAAATTGAAAAAACTAAGGAAACGCAATAAATTAAAATCGCGTGTGCATTTCTGCGATCCGGCTCGAATCCGGCTCTAATGCTATAGAAATACTTCAAACTAACGAGTGGGACGCTTAGGCCGTTTTTATTTTGATGTTTTGTGGGAATGCGCGGCCTGCGAGGGCTGTTGCAGAAGCAGCACAGTTGCTCTTGAGTTCTAGCCCTCGTCATCATCTTCAGTTCTTATTTTGCAGAACCTAAAATGTTATCCGCATAAAGAAATTGCGTTGTACTTGTATTCCAAAGCGCAATTACAGGACTTGGCAAAAAGCCAAGAGAGCTGCACGCGACCGCGCCGCGCGGACGGTGTTAGTAAAAACGTGAGGGCGGGCGGCGTAGCAAGGAATTACGACTTTCCCACGGTCCCGTACTCTGACCCCGTGCAGTTTTGGGCGGGGGGACCACGACACATCGACAGCTGGGGGGCTGATAGTCTCATACACCCTCAATGTGTTTGAGCGTACCATGTGTCTTTAAGTTTCCTTTGTAAATAGGATCAGCATGAGAATAAAGAAGAGTGAGAAAAGTGGAGGAAGATAAAATCATTGGTGGTGCTCTGTATTTATGCAGGTTGTCAAAACCATTTTTGTTATTCAAATCGTCAATTGCACTAAAAAGCCTGAAATTGCTCCGTTTTAGATGTGACAGATGTGCTTTTAGGTCTATTTCCGTCATGTTGCTGAATAACTGATGGAAATGAGTTTGTACTAATGGCGCAGCATTTATTTTGAATGGATAGGCAAAAGTTACAGCACGCTGTTCATTTGCTTCACCCATCGTTCCATTAGCCATCGAATTATTATTCAACAGTTTGGCTAAAAGACACATGGCAGAATCACTCATAGTTTGGGTGTGTGTGACTATCACCCCCCCCCGTTTCCCCGTCCCAACATGCGCAGGAATGGAGATACAGGACCGTGAAACACGCTAATTCCTCCATGCTCCGCCCAATGCCTTTTGCGGCGCAGACTCCCGTTTATGCTAACAGCCGTCCGCGCGGCGCGTGTCGCGCGCAGCGCTCTTGGCACTTTGCCAAGTCCTGTAATTGCGCTTTGGAATACAAGTAAAACGCAATTTCCTGATGCGGATAACATTTGAGGTGTTGCTCATGCTGCAAAGTCCGAATAGAAGGTGATGAAGATGACAAAGGCTAGAAATGAAGAACAACGAATGTAGATGTAAATAAAACAAAATGAAAAATTAAGGAAATGCAAATTAATTAGAATCGCGTGTAAATTCTGCAATTCGGCGCGATTTCGGTCTAAAGCCATAAAAATACTTCAAACTAACGAATGGGACGCTTAGGCAGTGTTCAGACTTCGCGACATCGCGCTTCGCTCGCGCGTTTGACGCGATCGGAGCAGTCGAAAGCATGCGCATCGATCGCGTGGAACGCGCGGCCGAAGCGCTGCCGTCGCGAAGTCTGAACGCTGCCTTAGGCCGTTTTTATTTTCATGTTTTGTGGGAACGCGCGGCCTCTGAGGGATATTGCAGAAGCAGCACGGTTGAGTTCTGGTTTCTTGAGTTGTCTGGGAGTCTGCGCCGCAAGTGGCATTGGGCGGAGCATGGAGGAATCAGCGTGTTTCACGGTCCTGTATCTCCATTCCTGCGCATGCTAGGACGGGGAAACCGCTACGCTTCGACAGGTGTGGAGGTTGATAGTCACGCACACCCAAACTACGTGTGATCGTACTTACATAGTGGCGTGTGTACCTTGATAACCCTATGAGCAACGTTAAAGACATGTGGCACACGATAATCTTCGATCTTCGATCGATCTTTATAACTGAGAAAACAACTTCGCACGATTCTCCCGTAGGCGTCATGCCGATAACTGCCACGCTAGATACAGCCCCATGAATGTACTCGTAGATCCATGCGCACAGCAGCTGTTACCTATCAGTCGCTTCGCTTCAAATTTTACCTCGCAAATGAAGCAATACGAGCATCAGGTATAGTCGTCCATTTGTGGGCGAGCGGGTGCCCCGGTGTCCGAGTCGTTTGTTGCAGCTTAACAGGGCCTGATACAGGTACCTTCCTTGGAAAAGGCGCTATGCAGCGCCTGCTCAGGGTCGCGGAATTCCGTTCCTGCCGGATGTGTTAATCCTATTCGTCTTAGGGATTTATCGTGCCAACTGCCTTGGAGCGATAAAAGTACCACTCAATGTGACCATACGGCCATTTGTGGATCAAGCGGTACGGTTGGCGCCTAGGTCGACATGTTGAAACCTCGTGGGGCGCTATGGGGACACCTCTGTTAGGGAGCGCTCCTTCTAGCGCCTTTTCGGAAGCACTGAATCCTGTACTGCTAGATGGGTTTATCCCACACTGCTTGTGAAGCCACTTGCCTCTAACATATAAGGCTAAAGCTCGCGATCATTCGCCATCATAGATAGTGGCTTAGGGGTTTGTTTTCAGACAACAGGGTGCTGAGTAACCGATTGCGAAGAAAAAAAGCAGAAAAGGACGCCTACCGCCCTAATTGAACCCCATTTCAATCTTAGTTTGTACGTGCCCAATTAACTCCATCTCCAACACTACGCCCATCCGCACAGCTGATTCCCGATAAGAACTCCACGACCGTGCAAGTGGCAATCTTCATTCTCATTCGTCCTGCAGCTCCGTTTTACTGAAAGGCGTGCCTTGAAGGCAGAGGAAAAACGGGGGTGTCACTGGATCTATACTGTGCTATAGCGCCTTTCCCTTGGAAATTTTGATTGATTTATACCACAATTACCGCTTCCATACCTGATCACGGACCGTGCTTTTAGGCAACACAACCTGGTTGCAGTCCTCAAACTCATTATTGTTTTCTTATATCTGAGCTTGCTCACATGGATTAAGGTATCAGACTAGAATTGGAATAAGTGACCTAAAAAGTACCGCGTGAGGAAAGAATAGTAGCAGAACAATAAAGACAAACTACTGTGTGAATAGAAAGCAACGGAAGAACCATTTCGACGATAAAAGAAATAAAACAGGCGGGAATAGTAGGAGAAGCCGTCATAATAATGGATTAAAGTAGCTACTATGAGTTCGCTGAAGAAGTGACGGGAATCGGTTTCTCTTTACTCAAGAGTGAATATGATTAACTTGCACGCACAGCAAAGAAGTGAACGACAGCATTGAGTTGCAGCATTTTTGAGCTGCGAAAGCAGTACATCTTCCATGTTTGCGGTCAGGACTACCATCCAAAAAAGGCGTCTGAATATCAGATGAACGAGGAGCATGCCCTTACTTCTAAACACGCCCCTTCGGAAGCCGCCAGAGGAAGTGCCTGATAGTAAAATAAAATATTACTATGTTTATCATAAACGTGTTGGAACCGCACGGCCTCAGCTGATCTGCCATATTTAATAAAACACCTGGACTGGTTGTTCGTCTCCAAGACATTGAGGGATATCTGAAACGATTTTGGTTCACTTACTTCCAGTCCCTGAGTGATGCTTACTTACCTTGGGCTCATAATGCCGTATGTAGCGTTGAACTGTTTTCATTTCAAGGATAACATTCGGCGAATGTTGTGGTGTAAGTGTCATCCGAAATGAGGGTATTGAGAAAAGGCTGCGATCGAAAGGAGGAAGAGAAAACATGAAAAAAGGGATGAGAGGGATCAGTTGGGCGGTGGGGGAGGGATCATTTTGCAGTTTCTCAGCTTCATCGTTCCGGTTTACAAGTCTCACTCTGGTGAAACTTGAACTTTCGTGGAGCTGGAGCAACAACCGGTCGACTCTTGTAAGCTCATGAAATAGCTGTCCACGTGAGGTGCAATAGGTCTTCACGTGACGGGAAGTAGCAGGAGAGCAAAATGCCTCCCCCCCTCGTCCCGTCGTCAAACTGCCTCTGAAGGGATGAAGCTCGCACTGATCATTACCTTGCAGCGAGCCATGCATTCCTGTTCCATTCAGAATCATTATAGAGCTTCGATTCTATTCGACCTAGGCAGTAACTGAGGGGTCAAGGGACAGCCTTTTTATCCTCTAAGGTATTCTTATACTTACTAATGGATCACGAACTGCAGAAGGCTCGATTACAGACTGGAGGCAATTTGAGATTTGAACTTCGGACTGTGGTCAGCGACGCTTTTTTCACCACCTACTCCATAGACGGAAAGCGGAACAGCGGGAATAAGCAACAAACTCCATGTTCACCGCTGGAGACAAACCGCTGAGAATGCCCAGCGAGGAAGGGGTTCGTATTTGCCTGCAAAAGAATTTTTCCGAGGTACGACAAAGTGCTCTCGCTTGCTGACTTCCACTTTTGCCGTCTCACATGCACTATGTCCACTCGAGCCCCCCCCCCCCACCTCCCCACCCAATCGACGGCAGTTTTCTGAAGAGAAAAAATGGAAAAAAAATGGAAAAATCTAAAAAAAGGCTGGGGAAAGTGCTAGGAAGTTGGGAAAATGCACGGAGACGGTAGGATGACAGGTAGGAGAAGGGACGCAGTTCAGTTCCAGGGGCTGCACTCTCCCTGCTTCCCTAGTTCCGAATTATAAGTCTCACTGTGGTGAAGCCTGTGAACACTTGCGGAGTGGAGCAGAGGCGTCGAGCCATCATCGTAAGAGTTGTTGTCAACTCTTGTAAGCTCGCGAAATGGCCGTCCAGATGGGACGACAGTAGGAAAAGTGCACGATGCCCCTCGTCGATGAACTGTTTTCGAGGGATGCGATTGTCATATTTCACAAACCCTAACGGCAGGACGTGCTCCGGCCACAGCGACTCTTGTTTTTTACGCATTTCCTCTCACAGACATAGTAGTCTTTTCTATCTCCTGGGTTAACTTGGAAGAGAGCGGATGGTCATAGTAGCCGTTTCCTGGTGTCACTCCCGGTCAACGACACGGTCACTGGAGGCCGGCATGGCCTATCGGGCGCCAATGGGCCTAAAACATGAGCGCCGTGCGTTCTGCTTGCTGTTTTTCAACTTTTAAAAGCAGCATATCCTCTACTGTTGCCTGCTTGATCATCATGCACGTTTATGAGGTTCTAGCCTTAGTTTATCGCGGAACGTGCTTTAAAGGCAGCGTCCGCGATCAACCAAAGTGAAAAAACCCTCCATTGAAAACGAACGCGGAGTCCGCAATCACAGCAGAAATCCCACTCTTGCGGCTCGAAATCGATTGGTTGACGAGGGCGGAGTCAACAGAGCCGGGCTGACGCCTCCTGTCCTGTTAATCCCGCCCCGACTGGTTGACAGTTATCAATGCTTGCTGGCATTGATATACGCTGAATTTCTAGAGTTCCGAGGCGGCGACGTGTATTGGAGAACTCACCAGAAGTTTGCGAAACTCGTCCACATGCCTTAAATTTCATAGGGTCTTATTTCACGCTCTTCCACACCTTTTTCCTGCTTTTTTTTTTTGATTAGTGCTTCATTGGCCACCTGTTCTAGCAAATGTGACCCCTGAAACCTGCCAAAGTCCATCGCGGGCGCTGTCTTTAAGCGTATATAGCAGAATCGTCTGTCTTGTGTGGCTTGCCGCTAGGGAGGAGGTGGTCGTACACAGGGGAGGAGCTAAAAAGAGACACTTTGGCCGATTCACATATCAGCAAAGTTTTCGCAGCCCAAACAGAGGACGTGGATACGAGCCAGGGCGGAAGATACCCAAGATGTTCCTCGATAAGCAGGAGCTGGCTCTCGCCCATCACCTTCATGTACACCAAAATATGAAGTCATCTCCAGCCTGACTGGAGAAGACCTTTGGAATTCACGTCACCTCCAAATAGCTGTGAAATTTCTTGTATGGTGTTACCCACCCTGGAAACCTGTGCTCTTGATCTGGAGCACCTCCAACATCGAGCAGTTTCGGCAACGTCGCTACGGTCCAGAATATCATCGCAGTCGCCAAGGCGCGGGTTGGTGGTATGGACCGGAAGTTCCTGGAATGTGGAGACCGAGACTGTCTTCGTGGACTGAAGGTGAGCGCTGACGGTCACATCGTACAACTCGTAGCGAATACCCTGCCTTCATGTCATCGCCTGTACCTTCTTGGAGACTTCGTACTGCTACAGGATTGGGTGCCTCCACACGGAATCGAAGGGCGTTGGAAAAACTCTCGCCTACTTGGAATGGAAGGGCGTTGAGTACCTGAAGAAGACGGAATATCTAAGTGTGTCACCTGACCTGAACCCCTTCAATTACCCGGTTCGGGCGGAGCTCAACAGGGTGGTCTACAGTGGCGGAGAAATCAACGATCTCGCTGAACTCAGGTACCGAATCACGGTCGCGTGGCAGAATCTCTCGATGGCGCTCGTCCAGAAGGCTGTGGCGGAGTATCATGATAGTATACAATATGCTGTTGAATATGGTGGTGGAAATGTCCAATCAGAATTTGATAAAGTGTAACTTATAGCGCCTTGAAAGTCAAGGAAGAAAAGTGTCTTTTTGGCCCCCCCCCTTGTACAGATATGAATAAGAAACGGAGCAGTGGTAACGTCGGTGGAATTTTACTTTCGTTTTTGTACCTCGACAGGCAGAGCAGTATTTCCGACGAGTAGGAGTAGAGTAATTGTTGGCTGTGTAATATTTCGCATAATCGATCCCCCTCCATTGAACTTTTCCTTACGTGCGACCTCCATTCACAACCCACCTTCCTTCCCTCGTACTTTTCCCCAAAAATTTGTCCGTTTATGGGCGACTACTTGCGGAACCATTCATAGCTAGCACAAAATGTGAAAAATCGAAATTCTCCGCTGTGAACAAAAACGCCCCCATTCCCTCCCAGCGTACCGCTGTGTCTTACTTAGTAGGCTCTGTGCTCCTTATCTGCTGTAGGGCTTATCCGCCTCTTCTCGAATCCTTTTTTTTCCTGATCTTTCGCTCGCGCAACACAGCTTCGTTTCTTCGGATACTCGCCCAATTCTGGGCTTTTTTTGGAGCATAGTCAATGCCTCCCTCTCTCATCTCTCTCTCTCTCACTACGTAGGTCGATGAGCATCTGGTTTTTTTTGATAAGCACTCTTTTTGGACTCGAAATCCCACGAGTAGTGATCGTAGAGTGTGATGTAATCTCGGCACTGTACAGATGACAATACTGAAGTTTTCTCCGAATAAAACTTTTGTGCCTGCACTATTGCTGCAAAAATGCATTTATTCGGCGATCACATTGTTCAGTATTCGACAGTAACTTGGACGTAGAAGGTCCTACTTAGCAGCGAAGAAGTTATATCTGAATGTGATAAAGTCAGTACTATTAGAATGAGTTCGCATTCTGGATGTTCCGCTGGAGCTTTGCAGTACTTTCAAGACTTATTTCTTTGTGCGTACAATTACTTTTGATGAGACAAACAAATAAAATCTTTGAAACTGAGATTAATGGACTATGTTGCAAAGAGAGTGATGCTGAGAGTGACTGAACTCACCTAGAGAACACGCAGTTTCTTGTGGGATGATTTAGAGTTGTTTATGTTGTACAGGACGTCGTTTCATGCAGACAACCGTGGTCCCATCATCTAGCCAGCAATTTGACGGCATTTTGTAAGTTTGGATGCACAGGTGTTTGCTATTAGAAATGGCAACGCATTTCCCATCGGTCTGCAACGCAAATATGGAGAACGTACAAGGAATGCACTACAAAACTAGAAGGTCTACAGGAAGGTGGGTCAGATTTCCACAAGGCGGATCGCAGTGGTTTATCTTGGTATCGCACTTAGCTCTCAAGTGGATATTTCTAATGAGGAGTCATTCTGATACAGAGTTTGCCCTTGCAAAGGTAAACGAATGACATTATTTCCTTTTCTTTTCCCCAGTATTCGAAGTTTTTGTCAAAATCCACAACAGGGTCTTTCAGGTCATGGAATCTATTTTGGTCTGTAATAAATGCATGCAGGGATCACAAATTTGTAGCGCATGTTTGCTGCGCGCTCCTAGAAGTGGCAAAGAACATGCAAACTGCGTGCAATACATGGAGTTGATGGTTCGTATCCGTATGGTGACGAAATTTTCCATTACTGTAATTTTTATTTTCTTGTGTTCTAATGAACAGAACCTTGCCGTACGAAAGAAAGCAAAAATGGTTTTTAAGAGCATCTGAAGGATCACTGAGAGACCCCCGGAGGATCGACTACTATGTAAGCACATAGATCCATCTGTAGCTCATATCCCGGAGATGGGCAGGGGGAGGATGTCCTGAACATAGCATGGGATACTCTCACCTGAAGCAACAGTCATTCTGCCTTGCGCTGCACAAAGATATACAGAGATATTTGCAGTTTCCACAAAAATGACAGTATTTTATCAAAAAGCAGCAGCGCCGCCAAGGCACGGCGCACGTTGGGGATCTCCAGCTAGGAGGAGCAGGTCCTTTGCCTCACGGAAAAATGTTTTTGGCAGTGGCTGTTCTCGGTTGCTTTTCGTTGTTCACCCGCTTTGTATTCCCTTTAACCGTAGCACAGTTGCTATTTCTCAGGAAAAAAATATCGGGAAAGTGGGAGGAAATCGCAAAAATTCAGAAAGATGTCAGGTGGGTCGGTTATGGTTAGGCGATATTGTATCGGAGGGGCAGTTTTGAGGGGAGAGGCCTGTCTTGCGGAAGTTCC